GTGCTAGTTGGCACTCATCAGCAAGGCGTATCTGCAACCTTGAAGGAACTCATGTCCCTTCTGACATTCGAACCCTCGTCACCCAGTGCCACCTGCAGTCAGAGACGTTACCACTGAGCTATGGTGGCCACATTACAAAACCTGACTGACTGATAGAATTCAGTCTGCACCAAAGAAAGGACTAGACACGTCACACTAGTTGCTAGTGTCTAATCCAAATACCCACTACAGTCCTACAGGAGGTCAATTGCGAGCCCGAATAGCTCAGTGGTAACGTCTCTGACTACAGGTGGCACTGAATGACGCGGGTTCGAATCTCAGAAGGGACATGAGTTCCTTCAAGGTTGCAGATACGCCGCCTTGCTGACTGACTGGTAAGTGCTAACTAGCATGAAACCTAGGTCCAAGGCTTGCTGCCGACTGCCTCCAATTATCTAATATCACCAGATATGTGTGTCTGAAAGAAATTCGTTCAGCCACTTTCCCTATCTTGGCCATTGTTACATGAATGTAAAAGAATTGACAATTTCGCTATCGATTTAAGCGTTGTACAAGTGTGATCACTGTGCAAATTATATTATCATTCTGATTACTTCATTAAAAATGCCACATACACTGGAGTAGAGCTGTGGTGTGTGCTACTGATAAGATTTATCAGTAGTATATACATATATACATAAAGAGATGTTCATTGGCATAAAGAACATCAATTGTCAGGGTGATAGACTTGACACGTCAGGGAAAACAAATGATTCAGCGTTGAGGAGATACATGGGAGACGTGAAAGGAAAACAAAAAAAATACTCCCAATATGAATACCAGAAGTAAGTAGCAGGCACAACACGGAAGATCTGTGCAAATGGTGATCTGATGTGAAAGGTGTACACAATTTCGCTACATAGAGATGACAAATTGACATTCCTTTACCAAGTCTTTCGTCTTGTCAGCGTTACACAGCCACAGATGAGAATTTAACTGAATACTAAATATTTCTTTACTTAAGCCTTTAATAGTTTAAACAGATCTTTGTTGTATGTTGCATACTCCTAAATTGGCCAATAACCCCTTCAGTTCCGATGGCAATACTAAGCTCCAATCTCTAAATTTTCAGCAGAGACGAGGTGACATGATTGGCCTCACCCCTAACCTCTCCTCTTTACAAGGCTTAAAACCAGGTAGGCGAAGTTTGGGAGAATCTCATGTGTCTCTGGAGAGTGAGCAGTCTACAAATAAATCACTGATGCAACACCTAAAACCTTGGAAAAAACAACTATAATTTACGATTATCGCCCACCCATGGCACCCTTTGTATTTCCCACTCTTTTGGAAGACTGGGCTCTCCCTTATTGGTTGGTAATTGTCTGGTTTCGTTAGAGAATCTAATGTTTGTCATATAAATATATATATATATTCAACATTGCTGTGAAGTATTTACACTGATGCTTAAAACAGTAAAAGTACCTTGGATTGTGTATTTCCTCTGATCTTTCCTGGTCTTCTTACATTGTGTTAATTTCTACAAAGATATTTTATTTAATGTTCTACGTAAGGAAATTAGGATAATCTGGTATCACAAAGACTCTACTCTCTCTCTTTTTCTTTTTCTTCCTTCACGTTCCCAGTGGAACATAGGGGGCTTCAAGCTACAGGCCTGAAGTTTCGGTAGCAGTGGCGTTTATTTTACAGGATGGCGTTGCTAGCCTCATGCCCAACCTTCCCTCTTTACCAGTTCTATTACTAGCTTAGCAAGGTAAAGGAGTGAGTCGGAGGCCGGGGATCGAACTCCGGACCATGAGCATAGTCGGCGAGCGTCCTAACCGCTGTGCCACCGACGCACCTATCTCTCTAAGTTTGTTAATTCTTGTATTCTACCGATTCTTCTTTACCGCTCCCCCTCAACTTAATCTTCTCTTGGGCTACTTAACAACGATATTGTAACGCTGCTGTGAAGGGCATTAAAAGCTGTCAATAGAGTGAGTGGTGTGTTGTTAAACCAACTTGTTAATACTGTTGTAGGCAGAGACATGGATTTCTGGAAGAAATTAGCCAATATCATCATCTCGAAGATACTGAGCATCCTCTCTCTCTCCCCATATACACAACTCCCTCCGTCAGTCATATCAGGCAGGATTAAAAGCAACTATAGATGGTGGACTGGATTATGCGTCAGACAGTGGGAAACGAGAAGACAGGGATATCCTGAACCAACGTGAACAACCTAGAAGACATGGATTTCGCGTGTGGATGATTTATGTTTGATGTCACACAAAGTCGAAGGCTTACAAGCGAAAACCGACAAACTGGTCGAAGAAGCAGCCAGTGAAGACAGGACTCCAGGTGAACATAGACGAGACGGAGGTTATGAAAATAAACAACCAACCAACCAACAACAGCAGCAGGAACATCCAGCGCCAATCACCATCAACGGGAGGGATTTGAAAGAGGTTACTTCACTCACTTATCTACCGAGCATTGTCTCAACTACAGGAAGAACGGACAAGGATGTCAAATCGAGAATCGGGAGGGCGAGAAACACATTCATCAACCTGAAACCAATCTGGAAATCTTCGTCACTCAGCCTGCATCAACAACAAAGTGATTCGGATTTTGAATACAAACGTCAAGTCAGTCAGTTCTTCTATACGGATGGATCAGAAACTTGGCGGCGGGTCACACAGAATATTTATTTCCAACAGCCTGTTGCAGACCTTTATCAACAACTGTCTTCGTTCCATACTCAAGATCAGATGGCCGGAAAGAATCACCAACAAGAAACTATAGGAACAAACAAAACAAGAACCAGTCGCCCAACAAATATGCAGGAGAAAGTAGAGATGGATTGGACACTCACTCGCTGAGGTGGCCGCTGGGTGACATCGCTCGTCAGGCCATAGCTCGAGTGGAACCCGAAAGGGAAGCGGCGAGTGGGACGTCAGTGCAAGTGTGACATGGAGGAGATCGTGTGAAGAGGAGTTGAAACAGTATGGACTTAGATGGATGCAGGTGAAAAGTACAGCAGAAGACAGAAGGAAGTGGATACGTGCATTTGAAGCCCTATGTTCCACTAGGAACCCAAGGGAACAATAATAATAATAATAATAGAAGACTGTATATACTCGGACGACTAAATATATAAACTCTACAATACCTTATTCGGCATATATATTATAAGATGAGAAAAGTATATAAGGCATAATACTTCTAACTTACTAAGAGAAAATAAGTAAACGGCCCTCTTTAGAATAATAAAGAGGGCCGTTTACTTAAAGAGGGCGAAGACAGTTGTTGTTGATAAAGGTCTGCAACAGGCTGTTGGAAATATTCTTTGTGACACACTGGCCAAGTTTCTGATCCATCCGTATAGAAGAACTGACTGACTTGACGTTTGTATTGAAAATCCGAATCACTTTGTTGTTGATGCAGGCTGAGTGACGAAGATTTCCAGATTGGTTTCAGGTTGATGAATGTGTTTCTCGCCCTCCCGATTCTCGATTCGACATCCTTGTCCGTTCTTCCTGTAGTTGAGACAATGCTCGGTAGATAAGTGAGTGAAGTAACCTCTTTCAAATCCCTTCCGTTGATGGTGATTGGCGTTGGATGTTGCTGCTGTTGTTGTTGTTGTTGGTTGGTTATTTTCATAACCTCCGTCTTGTCTATGTTCACCTGGAGTCCTGTCTTCACTGGCTGCTTCTTCGACCAGTTTGTCGGTTTTCGCTTGTAAGTCTTCGATTTTGTGTGTGAGAAAATTAGATGCGATATATTTGTATTACATGCTGAAAATTCAATTTTTGTATCTAGAGTACTGTTTGGAACAATGATAGCACTAGACTGACACACACACACACACAATTAACTAGTTTATGACTAGTGTCCAATCAAATATGTATAATATAGTCCTACAGAAGGTCAATCGCGAGCCTGAATAACTCAATGGTAACGTCTGTGACTGCAGGTGGCACTGGGTGTTTACGCTGGTTCAGATTTCAGAAGTGACGTGAGTTCCTTCAAGGTTGCAGATACACCGCCTTGCTCACCGACTCTTGAATGCCAACTAGCGCGAAATCTAGGTCAGGCAAGGATTCCTGTCGATTGCCTCCAACCATCATTTAATACCAACAGTTCACAGTGCACCATGATGGCGAGCCACCTAGTGGCATGGTGGCCACATTGTAAACTTGGCTGACTGATAGAATTCAGTCTGCACCAAAGAAAGGACTAGACTGACGCGCGCACGCACACACACACTATACTAGTTAGTGAATAGTGTCCAATCAAGGATACTTATTTGTATTTGTCAACAATCTATCTTCTCTTCGCGAGCCTGACATTATTATTATTGTTGTTGTTACCGATTGCAGTAGTTTATTGCACCAATTTATTAGGTTACAGTACCACAATCATATTGAAACCAATGACTTCTAATTAGATATAACAATCAATGGTCAACGAGCTTGTCTTGCAACCGGAAAGATGTAGTTGAGTACTGTCGAAGAGCCCCAAACGAGGACGAAACGGCTGTTTAGTACTCCATGGTTTTCAGTGATTCTCTGACGAACATCAATCCGTGATCAAACTTAAAACAAGTCGAAATCCCTACAAACTAACTCATGATATAAGAAAGCCAGTCGCTTAGTTGGTAGGACGTTAGGCCTATAACACCACAACCGTTGGAGTTCATGTATATACATTTATATTCATAAATAAAGATTTAATTTTAGTGTAGGCTGGTTACGAATCGATGTCAATTAGAGAATCACTGATCATGAGATGAGAAGGCTCACCTCCTTCGTTTCAAAAGGGGTCCTCAACCCCGGGAACAACAATAATCCATGTCCACAGATGGAGAATTCTCAAGATGCTGAAGGAAAAAAAAAACACAAATATCAAAAAGATTCCAGCCTACACGTCCACTTCCAACAATCTACGACGCAGGTCTACACTAAAAGAAAATCCCCTCAAACTCCATCTTATAAGAAAGAACAAACAAAACAAGAATAAGGTAAACAGTATTTGGTACTTTTACTATTTGATTATATTGAGATAGATAGATAGACAGACACACACAGACGGGCAAAAGATAAGATTGAAATTATAAACAAAGAGGCTATTGGTTAAATCAGTTAGTCAGTCAGGCAGTCAACCAATCAATCAGTCAGTCAGACAATCAGCCAATAATCATTCGATCAGTTAAATGAATTAATTTCTTTACATGTACAATATACACATAAATATACGGTTGGTTGTATTTTACAAAGACTTTAGAGGTTTTCGCATCACACAACACACACATACACACATAACACAAATACTGTTAGTAATCATAAAAGAAAAGAACTTTTAGCAAATAAAAAAAAGAGAGACCTGACAATTATTTTACAATTCATCTTTACGAGGAGCAGGAGTAGGAGTAGAAGTAGTCTGAGAGACGCCAGCTTCATCAGCAGCAGGAGCATGAGGATCAACAGGATGTGAAGGCGGCGGAGAAGATGAAAAAGTTGGAGGGAATATTGTAGTAGACGATAAATCATCATTAGAAATTAATTGAAAGCCCAATTGTAATGTGATCACAATATTATCAGAGTTGTTATTGTTGTTGTTGTCGCTGTTGGTAGTGGTGGTGCCTTTATTATTATTATTATCACTTGGTTGCGCTTGTTCTTGTTGTCTACTAATTGATTTTTCATTGAGATGAAGTAGTTCACTTAAACACGTATTGATTAATTCATAATGTCTCCTTGATATCTGAATTGTTTGATTCATATAATACGGTGAATCCGATGGGCATACTTTATGCAGACTAATTTGTAATACGGCTAACATAAAATGCTGACATTCAGTACTGCAAAACAAAACAAGATAAAAACATGATGAGATAGATGAACAACGCCTAGAGAAAAATAATAACACTTAACAAAATAGAATTGATAAAGCATATTTCAGTATGTTTCCAAGCAGGATAATACGAGCTCGTCTCCTTTCGTCGATTCTCTCTCTCTTCAACTGCACACATCCTTAAACAAAATCAGTTATATGATGTTACAAAGTCGTGTCTGAACATGAACATTTTCCCCTGTTTACACAGTGACCTTCAAGTTTTAGACAGAAAGTGTAGGTAGGCATAAGCAACATAAGCAACAAAGATGATGTGGCTAGACAATTAATTATTCAGTGTTAAAAGAGTAACTATATTTATGTAACAGTTTTACAAGTTGATCACGGACTGATATCAGTTAGAGAACCATTGAAAACCAGGGAGTACTGGACAGCTGCTGTTTCATCCTAGTTTGGAATCATCGGCAGTAGTTAGACAAGGATGGGGTGTAGACTTCAGATTTCGTTTGGAAACAGCGATGGACTGGAGACAACATACAAGATAGAACAAGAACAACAGAGTGAATTCATACATATTGATTATGGGGGGAGATTAGGAGGATGGCCGGCCGGTCGGGGGGAAGAATATTCAAGTAAAATCATTTAATAAATGAAATAATTTAATTTAGTCTAGATCCCGACCGTTAATAGTGAGTGAGTGAAAATCAAAATCAACATTGAGTGGAATGTTATGTGTGCAAGAGAAAAAAACACTTGCTTGACGTTAAGCTAGATAGAAGACAGAATGGAACGCTGTTAAGGTCGATTTACCGAAAGCCAACATTCACTGGGCAGTACACTAACTTCAACAGTTGGGTACCTTTAGGGAGGAGGAAGAGAAATCTTATTCATTCCTTATGCTCCAGAATTTGTAAAATCTGCACTATAGAGACAATCGGTAGGGAACTAGATAACCTTCGATCAAATCTCCTTAACAATGGATATCCTACAAGATTTATTGAACGTAACATCAAGAAAGAATCCGCCCCTAGACAAATCACAGTGCCAAAGAAAAAACTGTTTATGAGTCTTGCATTCAAAGGTGACACCATTTCTGAATTGATTAAAAATCGTTTATCTAAATGTATTAAACGTACTTTTCCTGCAGCTGACTTGCAGCTAGTTTTTACCAGCCGAAATATGATTAGACAATGCGTCAAGGATAGATTACCTCTTATGTCCACATCTATGTGCATTTACTCTTTTACCTGCTCCTGTGGAGCTGATTATATTGGACGTTGTAAGCGTAATCTCCGAAAACATGTAGCTGAACACTATCCGGTTTGGTTAATGAAAGGCGAACGTAGAACTGCGAAGTCGTCTATTTGTGATCACCTGTTAGAGTCTGGTCATTCAGCCCCCCACGTGATTCATCCTTCAAGGTTATATATACATGGCAAAATCGAACGAATCGCTCCAAAAGTTTACGTTTTCTTCACTTATGCATAGCCGAAGCTTTAGCTATACATGAACAGAAACCTAAATTATGTGTTCAAAAACGTTTTGTCAAACCCCCTTTTTTTTACCTTGGTCATGTTCTTTCTAGTTTTTATTTTATTTTATTACACTTGAATCCACTTCACTTCACATCTTTGTTCTTAACGTAATCGTACTCCTAATTTTTAAAAATTTTAGACAACGCTTGACATTTTAATAAATGAAATTTTTGATATCAATTCACTTATAGAACAATCTTAATTAATTTTGTAATTGATCCAGTTCAACTCTACCCCTTATAACATTTTAATTATCGTTATTCTTATCAATATATATATATATATATATATTGACTGAGCAATTATTTAGTGCCACTTAATAACCTTTTTCTGTAATATAAATACGACTGTACAGCTTGAAAATGAAGTCGTTGAAAAGAAATTTCTTCGCTGAATCACCACTTGTTTTGATTTTCTATATGTTACAATGGGAATTTTCCATGAGTTAAGGAACTTAAGGAGAATTGAGCTTTTTTGTCTCTTGATAATTTTAAAGGATCTTTCGACGTCCACCTCATGACCCGTATCAAGAAGATGTCTGATATTGACACTATTGTAAGCATTTGTTCCCAGCTGGAGACACAGGCTTTCTGGTACATGCTAAGAAAATCGGATGTATGCCCTTCTTTTTTTCTTTGTTCTCCCAATGTAACTGCTCCCACAGATACAGGTAAATTTGTATACACACACACAGTTGGAGTTACCATGAGAGAAGTCTCTATCGACTTTCGATTGCATCAAAGAGCGTGCTGCTGTTCGATAGACAGGAACCAGCATAGCTGCACGATAGGCTGTGACTAGTGACGTCCTCAATTTTCTGTTAACAATTGCTGTAATATCTGCACCTTTAAAAACCAAGTTGAATGGAGATAGGTCTTTTCCCTAGTGTGATTTGTTTGGCACTAGAGCTTTCATATCTTCCTCTGAGGGTAACTATTTGTTTCTCAACATTTTTTCAAAAAAATCAGAAATTCTTCCTCTAATTTCCCTATAGAGCATATTGTATTCTGTGCAAACTGTTGTTCTTGGCTTTATTCGAATTTAATATATCACATTTAGAGAACCATTAAAAAACGAGTTCGCCTCGTAGTTTTGATTACCAATGGTTTGATGGGTGTGTACTGCTGAAGGAGTTTCAAACTACCACGAGTTTGTCTGCCTATCTGGATTCAACATAGAACATGGCACCCAAGTGCAACAGTTCGAGTTGCCACGTCCCAAATACCACACACAAAGGTAGACAAGAAAATGAGAGTGAAGAGAATCAATAGAGTTTAGATAAGTATAAGAGTGAAACAGAATGAGTAATGGTAGAAAGGAATATGAGACTGAAGATTACAGAGACTGAATACATCTGAGTAAGCCATTGACAACGATTTTGAACCATGTCACCTATTGTCTCCAGCCATTGATTGATTCTTAGAGTCCCGAGGGCGGGCCCCAACCCGGAAGTCTGCATCTCCCTCCCTACCTGACTCAGTTTAACTGTCAGGGACTTCATGGATTGATGAGGCCATGTTTTTGTTTGGCCACCACTTACTCTTTTCCAACCTGCACCTATATCAGCTAGTAATGCCCGTCCGTCGGGGGAGGCGACGGTTAGGCATGCGCAGCACGTGACCTAACCATCTCAATCTATGTAACTTCATAGCCTCTTCGATTGATTTTCCCTCTTTTCCCAACCAACACTCTACGCCTAACGTCAACATTACTTACCTTATTAGACCACCTAACGTGAGAGAGAGATCGTAGACATCTATGATCAAAAACACAACCTTTTCATGTCTTCAACTCGTATTGGCCATGTTTCAGAGCCATAGAGAAGGACGGATCGAACTGCTGAGCAGTACACACGTCCCTTGGTTGATAGTCGGGTGTCACGCCTACGCCAGAGATGGTGTAAGTTAGTGAAAGCTGCTCGAGCTAGTCAGTTCAGTACTCCCTGGTTTTTAATAGTTCTCTATCTAACTGATAGCAATCTGTGACTGACCTTCAGATAAATCGAATCTCTATAAAACTAATACTTATTTTCAATTTCAGTTTGATTTTCGATTGAAATTTATACATAATAGAGAAATTTTATATACATATGCTTTCAATCATCCACTTACTTCAATTTAATTTGTTTTAATGTAGTATCGAATAAATCCCGCCAAATTGAAATATCTTTTGGTGATCCTTTAATCACAGTATTATTATTATTATTATTATCACCAACAAAGAGGCTATCATTATTCTCGTTAATTGGTAGAAAATAACTTGATCTTTCTAAATCATTATTGATAGAAAATGTGAATGACCAAGATAATGGATTTATGGAGTCACTTGGTGTTGTTTCTGTCCTTGTGACATCATCATCTTCAGCTGCCTCAGAATCACTTCCAGCGGATGATGATCTGGGAGACTCAGAAGTCGAAGAAGAAGAAGGGGAAGGGGAAGTAGACAAGGGAGAAGATGCAGGTGAAGATGGAGACATAGAATCCCTGAGATGAAACATATCTGAATTGTTATTATATGATATAGAAAATCCAATTGTGTCGGAAATTTTATTCAAATGAAGCGTTTTCATTGACACTGACGATGATTGGTACAGATGGCTAATCAGTTGGAAAGACGTATGAGTATCTCCTACGATATTGTTGAGTGGTAGTTTCTCGTGTTCCCTCTGTGAGCGAAAACCAAAAAAAAAAAACAACAAGGGTCCACATACTCATATCAATGAAAAGAACAGAAATTTAGAATGCAAACAAAATAAAAAGTGGAATCTTATTCATGATTCGCCCTGTGCTATTTCTTTTGTGTGGATCGAATTCAAGCAATGCGTCAATATTTGCTTATTATGACTCCTTACCAACTAGCACTCGACCGATGGCCTAACCTCCTCAATATTGCTCACCTTATTATACCACTTAACACACACGGGAGATAGAACGCAGATACCTAGGATCAAAGACAGCTAGCTGGTCTTTTCACGTCTTCCACTCTCAATGACCAGATCTCTTTCACAACCATAAAGGAAGACGGGGCGAACTGACTGCTGAGCAATACAGACGTCCTTTGGTCGACACCCACCTGGATATCACATCTACTAAGCCAGAGATGGCGTAAGTTGGCATATGCCACACGAGCCTTCTGTATCTGTGAAGAGATTTCGTCAGCGATTAACCCGCTGACGTTAGTTAGCTGATGGAACTTCCCAAATAACAAATGAAGTGGTCAACGTGTGCTCTAACACTTCACTTCCTATTTCTAAGCTAGATGTGAGTCAATGTAGTCTAGTCCTGTAGCATCGTCTTACATTTGACAGCAGGAGCGAATCGCATGCCAAACATTTGAAGATTACAGCTGAAGGTGTTCAGAAGACTCTGCTGTATTTTTTGTCAGCGTCTTCACCTTGGAGTGAGGACTACATCATCATCTGCATATTCTAAGTCAACGAGATTATTCCCTGGTGGTACCCAGTCAATCCTTGAGTCTCTGAAGTCACTTAGGCTTAAGTCCATTAGTACATTCAAGCTCATCATAGATGCATACATCTTGAATGAATTCTACTGGTTTGAAGTCGGTCGGTCGGTCGGTTTTCGACATAGAACTTTGCACATATGTGCGGCAGTTCAAATCGCCACACTCCCTCCATGTAGCACACAAAGCAAGAGAAGAAAGTAGAAGAAATGCTTAATATAAAATAAATCAATCGACGAGACTGTGAAGCTACACCGACTCAAATGGTTAGGACATGTGTTAGGCATGCCTAGCCATCGCCTTCCTCGACTGATGAACGATGTTAGCTGGTATAGGGTCAGGCTGGAAAAGAACTAGCGGTAGTTAAACCAAAACATGGCACCAGTCAATGAAATTCACAACAGTTAGTTTAAGTCAGCCAGTCACGTAGGGAGGAAGTTATAGACCTCCTGACTGGTTGGGGTCCTCGGGACGGTAAACACCAATGAAGGCTGAAGACAATTGGTGATATGGCTCAAAATCGTTCTCAACAGCTGGCGCGGATGCATCCACTCCTTGTGACTTATAATACCCAATAAAACTATATTGTTCTTCGTTATTACTATTCCTTTTGTCTCATATCTATGTTTACTGTTTCTATTTCGCATTTCTTCTACTTTCTTCTCTTGCTTTGTGTGCTACAAGGAGGGAGTTGTGAAACAAAAACACAATTAAAATCTGTACTTGTTGCCTTAGGAGAGGTGGTGACACTATGGCTTTTAAATTGATAACTTTCAAGGTTCGAGTCTTAATGGAACGTTGAGTTCGTCCAACTGATGAGTCTATCTGTCTGTTTGTTTATTTTCAACATGGAACTTTGCACCGATGTGCAGCACTTCAAGTCCCCACACTCCCTCCATGTAGCAAACAAAGCAAGAGAAGAAATGCGAAATAGAAACAGTAAACATAGATATGAGACAAAAGGAATAGTAATAACGAAGAACAATATAGTTTTATTGGGTATTATAAGTCACAAGGAGTGGATGCATCCGCGCCAGCTGTTGAGAACGAGGATTTTGAGCCATATCACCAATTGTCTCCAGCCTTCATTGGTGTTTACCGTCCCGAGGACCCCAATTAGCCAGTCAGGAAGTCTACACCTTCCTCCCTACGTGACTGGCTGACTTAAACTAACTGTTGTGGATTTCATTGACTTGTGCCATGTTTTGGCAGATATCTTTATCAACTATGTCTTCTCCATGTTCACTTAAAGTCTTGTCTTCGCTGACTGCTTCTTTTGCCAACTTATTGGTTCTTACCTGTAGGTTATTTAACACCAACGCTTCTTTCTGTTTCATTCCAGCGTTCAAGTCTTTTTTGTGCTACTTAATGTGCTACTGCACGGTTTGTTAGACACTTAACTTAACTAAGCCTGCCTGCATATACAGTTAACGGATGAGATGAATTAAAGTCTAAATATCTATTAGCAGAATGCGTCGGCGTTTTATAAACGCCGCTAGTGTTTAGTTTACCTTCGTATCATCGAAGCCCAGTGTTCCACTAGGAACCTAAGGGAATATTAATAATAAATAATAACAATATAATATCGTGCACAATTAAACATTGCTTCCTCTGCATAAATCACGGAATAAACAGGTATAGTGTTGATATAAACTCACAATGATTTCCGTATTCATTATTGACAGAGCTGTATTGAACGAATCTGTAGAAGAGACGAAAGGCAAAAAACCAAAAAATTAAAACCTGGTCATTTGATCACAATCTTTCTTGCTACATGCATAAGAAATTTACTGCATCTATTAGACAAATGCTGAGAAGACATTCAAATGAGAATCCGAATAGGAGGTAAGGCAATGAGTTCCGCATGGGACAGATAGCGACACGGACAGAAGGTCATTTTATTAGTATTATTGTTTCCTTTAATTCCTAGAGGAACTTCTGTTTTCTCTATGTTCACCTGAAGTCCTCCCAATCTTTGATGCTTCTTCTGCTAACTTGTTGCTTTTCGCTTGCATATCTTCCAGTTTTTGGGGAATCAGACATATATCATCATCGGCGAAGTCCAGATCCTCCAAGTTGGTTTTTTGTGTGAGTCCATTTGATGCCTGCCTCCTTGTTGCCCGCTGTTTGTTGCATTATCCAATCTACTGCAATCATACGTGAATAGGAAATAAGTGGTTGTGGAGTCAGCTAAAAGTGGTTGCAGAGAATCAAGTATACAGTGAAGAGGTTCTACTGAAAAAATCACAAGGAATGAGTAATAATCAGTTCGACAGAGATTCAAATCCCGCTAAACTCATTTCAATCGTCAAGCAATAAGAATGCGACCGATATCCACTCAAGTCCAGTTGGAAAATTCTTTTCAATACGCGCCTCAGTTCTAGATTCGAACTATATTATTACATTATTATTATTAGTATTCCATTGGGTTCCGGGTGGAACATAAGGCTTCAATAGAACACTAAGGGTAAAATTTGTTTTGATAAAGTCTCACAGTGTTGTTATACAGTACAGTTATATTTACTACTGATGACCAGGTTTCGAGCACAATTTATTGCTACTGCTCATAATCATATCAAGGCACTGCTCACACACACTTCTTCTAACTTCGTTTATATAATTCCACCATTATTTTCCATCGGCTTGACTCGATCGGTAGTAGTATTCTTTCTAGGTTTTTGACACATATAAACTCATTAGTAGAGGGAATAAAATTCACATTTGAATCGGAAAATGAACAAGGAGAATTAGTCATGGTGTTAGATTGTAAAATAAAACGAATAGAAGAAGATAAACTACACACTAGCGGTGTTTATAAAAAGCCAACGCATCCTGCTAATAGATATTTAGACTTTAATTCACTTCATCCGTTAACTGTTAAGGCAGGCTTAGTTAAGTGTCTAAGAAACCGAGCAATAGCACTGAGTAGCACAAGAAAAGACCTAAATGTGGAAATAAAACAGATAGAAGGTGGTGTTGGTGTTCAATAACTAACTATCCTATAAAATTCATTAGGAAGATCGAAAAAGACCAAAAGCAAAATAAAAATAATTGTGAAACTAGTAATGATAACATGAATAAGAGAGAATATAAGTCATCTACCGTTATACCATATAAGAAGGGAGGGGACATCTGAGACCCTACGTAGGATTATTAATAAAGCAGGAATTAGAGTGGCATTCAAACCTACAAACTCACTCAAGTAGGACAAGCTCTGTAGGCTAAAAGACCTGGTTGATCCAATTAAACAAAATAATATAATTTACAAAATACCCTACAATGACTGTAAGTTAAGTCAACTATATAGGTCAAACTAGTAGGTCTAGGGTAGTCAGATTTTCGGAACATAAGAATCTAGCTAAGGTTAGAATGGTTGATGTCACGGAGATAAATAATTCAGAAAAAAGCTCAGCAATTGCACTGCATGCATTAACACACAATCACACTAAATGGGGTGGGAGAGGGTTAAAATTCTAAGAAGTAATCTAGGTAGGTGGAGTGCGAGAGGGATTGATTACTGAATCCTTCTTCATCGAGTCTACACCCAACACGTGCAATAGGATGCAATGACTCATCACTCATACCGGAAGTATGGAAAATATTACTACCAATCATCAAGTCACGCGATGGAAAATAATGGTGGAATTATACAAACAAAGTTAAAAGTGTGTGAGTAGTGCTTTGATATGATTATGAACAGTAGTAATAAATTGTGCTGGAAACCTGGTCATCAGTAAATATTACCGTATAAAAAGCACTGTGAGACTTTATCAAAACAAATTTTGCCCAGAATGGAATTATACTCTTCCACTGTGCACAAGTTTTATTCTTATTTGAATAGAACACGCCCATGTTTCATCCGGATCTCAGCAATCGTCTTTAGGCGTCTTCAAGATCGCCTATAAGCGCTCTTATCTCCTGCTTTCACGATCTCCTCCACATCGTTCTCAGACACTCAACATATCGTTTTCCATTGGAGTGTCCGGTGCGTAGCATCTTATTCAATGGTCACTTCGGTGCGTGTTCCATCCAACTCAGTTTACTACGGAATATTTGTTTGGTAATAACTTCTTAGTTGGTCCGTTATAAGAGTTCTTAGTCGAAATTGTAACCAATGAACTGAATTCTTATTTTATATATATGTCCAAACCAAGTTCACTTTTAACAGTTTCAAATCAGTTGTTTCAAGTCACTGCTCAACATTCCGCTCCGTCCTCCTTTATGACTGTGAGACATGGCCATCGAGAGCAGAAGACATGAAAAGATTAGCTGTGTTCGATCACAGGTGTCTGCGTTCTATCTCCCGCGTGAAATGGTATATTAAGGTGAGCAATATTGAGGTTAGGCGTCGAGTGCTATGTAAGGCGGGGAAATCAGCCGACGAGACTGTGAAATTACATCGGCTGAGATGATTAGGACATGTGTTACGTATGCCTAGTCATCGCCTGTTTCGACGGGCAAGGTTAGCTGATATAGGGCCAGGTTGGAAAACAGCTAGCTAGCGGCGGTCAAACGAAAACATGGCACCAATCAATGAAATCTACAGCAGTTAGTCTAAGCCACGTAGGAAGGTGTAGACTTCTTGGCTGGTTAGGGCTCTTGGGACGGTAAAAACCAATGGTTGGAAGCAATTGGTGACATGGCTCAAAATCGTTCTCAGTGGCGCAGATGCATCCACTCCTTGTGACTTATGATTTTCAATTAAACTGTTTCGTTCTCCGTTATTACTATTCCTTTGTCTCACACCTCTATTTACTGTCTATATTATGCATTTCTTTTACTTTCTTCTCTTGCTTTGTGTGCTACAAGGAGGGCGTGTGGCAACTTGAACTTCCGCACATATGTGCAAAGTTGTATGTCGAAAACCGACCGACCGACCGAGTCACCTTAGACGAGCACCCTCTCTGATGTTAACGGATGAAAAAGAAGAAGAAGAGGATGAAGAAATATCGAACAATACTGAAACTCTCAAGCACAACAACTACCTGAAGAACTTCATCAACAAATATACAAAATCTGCGATAAGGAGAAATGCGACCTAGTAAAAAAAACGTTCCTACGAAATATTAAAATTATCAGCTTCCCTTCTCTAATACTAACTCGTCTCAAACAAATCGCAAAACGGCGGACAATATTCATCAGTCAACCTGCTAAAGCTTTTTAAACTCATCACAACACCATGTGAACAAATCCTCTCCTTCTTAAGCAACCAAAAATCCAGACAATACTGTAAGACCTTATCCTCCTTGAACTGCAAGCGTAACCTCGTTAGAGCACGCATTCGAAACGAATCAAGCGCTATACAACATTATTGAACTCACGTTCATGAACCTCACATTGGACCATTCGACGTCGTTCGCTGATTGGTAGTTATATTTTATATTTTTCCCTTGACGTTCCCCAGTGGAACATAGGGCTTCAAGCTAGTGGCTTGAAGTTTCTGTAGCAATGTTTATTTTCACAGGATGGGGTTGCTAGCATCATGTCCAACCTTTCTTCTTTACCAGCACTTTTTATTTCTTGCTTAGCGAGGTAAAGGAGTGCGTCCAGTGGCCGGGGATCAAACCCTGGACCATGTGCATGGTCGGCGAGCGTCCTAACCGCTGTGCCACCGACGCAATGACTGGTAGTTAGTGGTGCTTAAAGTTTAACTTAGCCAAAATATGTACATTTTCAAATGTAAGTTGTATTATCTCTCTCTCTCTTGTTTTCACATAACAAGGATGATGATGATGTTTAGTTACGTCAACCTACTACTCCCCTAACTCCCTCCACCATCTCGAGAGTGCAGTGTGAATCAGTATTAGTTATTGATTGTATTATTATTATTATTAATAAATCAATACGACTACTATAAAGCAATTTCAGCTAGTTTACATCTCATATGATGAAAAATACATTAGTATTAACACATATCAAGTATACACGCAAAAACAAACGCACACACACACACACGCACACACACGTATCAACATGAAGTAGCTGGATTGACTGAGTTGAGAATAAATTGAAAAGAAAAAGAAGAAACGAAAAGAAATCACCAATCAATAAAAACACTCATCTCTTCTTTGTCGTTTTTTAACTATGCGTTAACTGTTTATTGATCAGAATCACTGAGTTATTAGTTTTTTGATCAAAACATACGCATGGTACATTATGGGCGCCAAGAGATGCTCTACATAAAGTTTTATAGTTTGTGCAAGTGAAGGCAGAGGAGACTTCCCGGACTAAAGGAGGTGGTCGTCTTAAACGGTCACCCACCCCTACCCTTGTCTGTCGCTCCGTCCTTCTCTATGGTAGTGAGACGTGGCCATTGAGAGCGGAAGACATGAAGAGATTGTCTGTTTTTGACCAAAGATGTTTACGATCTCTTTCTCACGTTAGGTAGTATAATAAGGTAAGTAATGTTGACGTTAGGCGTAGAGTGTTGGTTGGGAAAAGAGGGAAAATCAATCAACGAGACTATGAAGTTACACAGATTGAGATGGCTAGGTAGGTGACGTGCTGCGCATGCCTAACCATCGCCTCCCCCGACGGACGGGCATTACTAGCTGATATAGGTGCAAGTTGGAAAAGAGTAAGTGGTGGCCAAACAAAAACATGGCCTCATCAATCCATGAAATCCTTGACAGTTAAACTGAGTCAGGTAGGGAGGGAGATGCAGACTTCCGGGTTGGGGCCCGCCCTCGGGACTCCAAGAAT